GAGCGGTCGAGGGGACCTGGAGGGCAACATAAGTTTACGGTCAACAACAGCATTGAAGAAATTTTAACAAGATGATATCGTGCCGGGCATAAATTACCAGGGGGACCGACGGTTTGATCCTGGCGCAGGTCTTGTTCTTAGCGCAAGGGCCTCCTCCTCCTCCTCCTCCTCCTCCTCCTCCTCCTCATTGTCGCCGCCGGCTGCTTGGTGTGAGCGATTCGTCCTGGCATGCCATGATCTCTTGTTTGACTTCCCTTCACCATCCTTCCTCCTGCTTCTTCCTGCTGTCTGTCCCTCCCCCTCGTCTTCGTCCTCCTCCTCTACATGGTACTTCCTTGGCCGGCCTCTCTTTCCCTTCCCCGAGGGCTGACACTTCCTCGACTCGGGCTTGAAGAAGGTCGTCTGCTTCACCACCCGCATCCTCATGCTCGTCCTCGGCGTCTTCTCCCTCATCTCCTGACTCACGTTCTTCTTCCCCTTGCTCTTCAGCTCAAACCTCAAAAGGTTGATTCCCCTCCGCATGTCCCCCTCGATCGCTGCCCTCCTCCTCCTCCTCGGGCTCCCGATCTCCTCCATCCTCCTCCTCCTCTCGGTGCCCTTCACAGGGTTCTTGATCCCCTTCGGTCGACCTCGTTTCCTCCGCGGCTGAGAGTCCTCCACTTCTTCATCCCTCTTTTGATCGTCTCCTCCTCCTCCTGCCTCCGCCGTCGCCGCCGCCGCTACTCCTTCGCCCGCCGCCGCCGCCGCCGCCGCCTCTGAAGCTGCTGCTGCTGCTGCTGCTGCTGCTGCTGCTGCTGCTGCTGCTTCTGCTGTTCGTCCCCTTTCATGAGAATCGCCAGCAACTCCATCGCGATCCGCAGGAGCACTCGAGCTTGTAGCTCCATCCTCCCTGTGCACGCTGCCGACTTCTCTTGCAGCAGCTGCAGCAGAGGCAGGAGCAGGCCCAGCACAAGTTCTACGTACAACCTCAAAAGCTCCACCCTGAGCTGCAGTTTGTGGAAGAGTGAGAGAGTGAGGGAGTGGAAGGGCAGCAGCAGCAGCAGCAGCAGCAGTGCGAGGAGGAGGAGCAGGAGCAGGAGCAGGAGCTTGCTTCTTGACCCTATCAGGGTGTGCGAGCCGTCGGTTTTGGATGATCGCATCTGAGAGTTTCCTCACAAGCTCCTCGTCGTTGACACTATCGGGCTTGTCCTCCTGCTCCGTGTCCTTTGCTCCCGCATCTCTCTTCCTGCTCTCCTCCAGGGTGACATGGGCCAGCGGTGCAGGAGCAAGCGTAGGGCTCCCCTCAGCTATCTCCCCCTCCTCCACCCTCTCACGGGCCTTCGAGCTGAGAGCGAAAGTTGCTGGTGAAGTCTCCGGTGCTTCATTCTTGTCCCCCTCCTTCCCGCTCTTGGGCTGCGCGTTGTTGCCAGCGTCCCTGACCTCCCTGCAGTTCACCTGCTCCCCTCCCGTCGCCTTGGTCTCTCCCTTCTCCTCGCATCCGTCAGCTTGTAAGATCTTCTCCGTTGATGCATGTTTGACCATCCCATCCCCTCCTAGCGCACCTTCGCTGACAAGATCCCGCTGTTCACGCACAGAGGACCCTGCTCCTGCTCCTGCTCCTGCTCCTGCTCCTGCTCCTGCTCCTGCTCCTGCTCCTGCTCCTGCTCCTGCTCCTGCTCCTGCTCCTGCTCCTGCTGTTCTCAAGGAGTCTACCTGGGACGAGTTCTGATTGGAGAGCTCTTTACCTGCTCCTGGCGGGTCACGAGCATCGATTGGCTGACCAGACATGCTCCCGTTCTGCAAACGAGAAGGACGAGGAGGGTTGACTGCCTCACCGTTGCTCCTCCCCTCCCTCGGCTCAGCCGCATGCTCCTGGACGCGATCCGCACGAGAGTCGAATATGGAGTGCATGCTGTGCCGCAGGTAGGACTCAGCAAACCTCTTGGTTGGGACTCGTCGCCTGACATGGCGGATCTCCCCATGCTCCTGCTCCCTCTCCCCCATGCTTCCTTCCTCTACTCTGGTCATCAGCGCTAGCACAGGAGCCAACGTTCAACTTCCTCCTTCATGCGAGGGGCCATGCAAGTCCCTACAAGTTCCGGCTCATCGCTTTCATGACCTGCCCAGACTAACCGCAGCACAACCAGTCCTGGTGTTTCTGCGGAGAGGTAGACGTAAGAGTTCGAGCTTGAAAAGACCAACAGGAAATCTCCATGAAACACATGCTGCTGCTGCTGCTGCTGCTGCTGCTGCTGCTGCTGCTGCTGCTGCTGCTGCTGCTGCTGCTGCTGCTGCTGCTGCTGCTGCTGCTGCTGCTGCTGCTGCTGCTGCTGCTGCTGCTGCTGCTGCTGCTGCTGCTGCTGCTGCTGCTGCTGCTGCTGCTGCTGCTGCTGCTGCTGCTGCTGCTGCTGCTGCTGCTGCTGCTGCTGCTGCTGCTGCTGCTGCTGCTGCTGCTGCTGCTGCTGCTGCTGCTGCTGCT